ATATTTCGATGAGGCACATTTTCACCGTGTTAAAGTGCATACACCCTCATTCGCCATAAGTCTGAGGGTATAATTATCCATTAAAAATTTCTGAAATTTGTATTATGGTTTACATTATGGATTACATAATCCGTTTTTATACCCTTCACCACACTGTGGTACAGGGTATTATGTCTTTGTGCATATGTTTGTAACAGGCAAAAAAACGAGATTGGTTCCTTTTGAATATATAGAATCACTTTCTGATTTTTGTCCGTCTAGCCGTCCTCCGTATAAGTCCGTCTGTCCGTCTGTCCGTCCATGTATTTTTGTGAACAAAGTACAGGTCGCATTTATGATCCGATTTGGATGAAATTTGGCATAGGTCACTTATTTGGCCCAAGGACGAATATTGAAATTGGGAAATTTGGTTCAGATTTTGATATAGCTCCCATATATATTTTCACCCGATATAGGCACCAAAGTACCTATATATCATTCGATTTGCACGAAATTTGGCATAGCGTACTGAATAGGTCCAGAATGATGTGTGCTGAGTTTCGTGAAAATCGGGTCAGATTTAGATATAGCTCCCATATATATTTTCCCCCCAAAGTACCTATATATCAATTTGCAAAATTTGGCATATACTGAATTAGGTCCATAATGGTGTGTGCTCGTTTTGGTTCAGATTTAGATATAGCTCCCATATATATTTTCGTCCGATTTAAGGTAAACGTGGCACCAAAGTACCTATATATCTTTCGATTTCCACGAAATTTGGCATAGCGTACTGAATTAAGTATAGAATGATGTGTGTTAAGTTTCCTGAAAATCGGTTCAGATTTAGATATAGCTCCCATATATATTTTCGTCCGATTTAATTTAAATGGTGCACCAAAGTCCCTATATATCTCTCGATTTGCACGAAAGTTGGCACATCGTAATCAATTAGGAATATAATGGTGTGTGTTAAGTTTCCTGAAAATCGGTCCAGATTTAGATATAGCTCCCATATATATTTTCATCCGATTTAATCTGAATGGTGCACCAATGTCCCTATATATCTTTCTTTGCACCAAAGGATTGGCACAGCGTAATGAATTAGTTATAGAATGGTGTGTGTTAAGTTTCCTGAAAATCGGTTCAGATTTAGATATAGCTCCTATATATATTTTCGTCCGATTTAATGTAAATGGTCTACCAAAGTCCCTATATATCTCTCGATTTGCACGAAATTTGGCACAGCGTATTGAATTAAGCCTAGAATGATGTATGTTAAGTTTCCTGAAATCGTTGAAATCGGTTCAGATTTAGATATAGCTTCTATTTCATCTGTTGAATATGCTCAAAGTGGTGAAGGGTATCATATAGTCGGCCCCGTCCGACTTTACTACTTTCCTTACTGGTTAGAAATGTCGTTATAGGTCCACTTTTTGGTATGTTCTCTATATTTTCAATTCTATTAGCTGTCAGTATATCTATGGTGGAGGGTATCCAAAGTTCGGCCCGGCCGAACTTAACGCTTTTTCACTTGTTTTCATTATTTTTGTTCGAAAAGGTGTTTAGCAAACATAACGACCATATGACTAACCACCACAACAAAAAATGGATTTAACCCTGAGAAATTTATTCAGGCGTACAGATCATGTTTTAGTAATTTAAATTATACGTTTATTATTTTATTTTTTCATTTATTTATTTTTTGCCAACTCATCTCAAAGGACCAACTGTTAGCAAAGGCAACACAAAATAGAAGTAGAAGACAAAAACACACAAAAAAACATGAAAAACATTTTCTGAATCATTTATTTCAATAACACCCTTCTTGATTGCAGCCAATCATTTCTTTCGATAGGCTAAGCGTGGACGGTATAAAAAGCAACAACAACGACGACGACTCCGCTAAGAAAAAAAGTGATACCAACAAATGTTACCCATAGATAAAGAAGCTGTATATTTAGAAAAGGGACACACGGACGCACGCACCCACACACACACACAAACATACACCCTCATTTATTAGAGAATTTCAATGTAATTAATTAAAATTAATCATACGTCACGTAGCAACAATAATGAAACCCATGAACAAAACATACATACGTACACGAGCCACTGCCTCCAATATGGTGAGGGTATTAATGCAGGCAGCAGACCAATATATAAAGAAAAAAACAACAACTGTATATTGAATAGAAAAAATCAAAAGAAGAAGAAAAAAACGACAATAAAAATAAACATTATTGTTGCTGTGTGCTACGCAACATTAAATCAGCTTCTTTGGCTAGAAGATTTAAAGTTGTTTATTTAGGAAACCATAGCAGAGTATCTCAGAATAACAGAGTAACATGACATAGCCATAATCATTAGATATGACCTTAAGCTATAATGGCGAAATCACATAGCCTATAATGAATGTCTGAACTTCACGAGATAGTGAATAAATGTGATTTATATGAGATCAAGGCATAAAGGGTCAAAATGGAGTTATTTAGAGGAGAGAAGAACATGGTCAGATGACCTGAATCAGAGAGTTTATTTTGATAAGCTGCAGAGAGTCTCCATAGAGGATTTAAAGAGAGTATCTATAGACGAGCTGAAGAGGGACTCCATAGACGAGATGAAGATAGACTCCATAGACGTGCTGAGGAGAGTAATTATAGAAGAGCTGAAGTTGGTCTCTATAGACGAGCTAAAGTATTTTTTTAAAAATATTTTTTAAGGCCTATTTTTTAAGGAAACGATATAGACACATGGTTCCTTTTGAGAATATGCATATAATCACTCATCTGTCCATGTAAAATTGTAAACAAAGTACAGGTTGCATTTTTGATTCCAATTGGATGAAATTTGGCACAGCTCATTTATTTAGCCCAAGGACGAACCCTATTGAAATTGGGAAAAATCGGTTCAGATTTAGATATAGCTCCCACATATATTTTCGTGCGATTTTTGGTAAATAGTGCACAAAATTCCCTATATATCTTTCGATTTGCATAAAATTTGGCACATCGTACTGAATTAAGTCTTGAAATTTGTGAGTTAAATATCGTAAAAATCGGTACAGATTTTGATATAACTCCCATATATATCTTCGTCCAATTTAATTAAATTGGTGCACCAAAGTCTCTATATATATCCTTCGATTTCCACGAAATTTGGCATAGCGTACCGAATTGAGTCTAGAATGATGTGTGAAAAGTTTCATGAAAATCGGTTCAGGTTTAGATATAGCTTCCATATGTAGCTTCGGCCGATTTTATGTAAATGGTGCACCAATATCCCTATATATCGAAATTTGGCATTTTTGAGCAGAAAATGTGTGCAAAGTTTCGTGAAAATCGGTTCAGATTTAGATATAGCTCTCATATATATTTTCGTCCGATTTTACGTAAATGGTGTACCAAAGACCCTATATATTTTTCGATTTACACGAAATTTTGCATAGCGTACCGAATTGAGTCTAGAATGATGTGTGCAAAGTTTCATGAAAATCGGTTCAGATTTAGATATAGCTCCCATATATATTTTCCTCCGATTTTATGTAAATGGTGCTCAGAAGTCCCTATATATCATTCGACTTGGATGAAATTTGACATGGCGTACCGAATTGAGTCTAGAATGATGTGAGCAAAGTTTCATGAAAATCGGTTCAAATTTAGATATAGCTCTCACATATATTTTCGTCCGATTTTATGTAAATGGTGCACCGAAGACCCTATATATTTTTCGATTTGCACGAAATTTGGCATAGCGTACCGAATTGAGTCTAGAATGATGTGCGCAAAGTTTCATGAAAATCGGTTCAGATTTAGATATAGCTTCCATATATATTTTCATCCGATTTAAAGTAAAGGGTGCACCAAAGACCCTATATATTTTTCGATTTACACGATATTTGGCATAGCGTACTGAATTGAGTCTAGAATGATGTGTTCAAAGTTTCGTGAAAATTTGTTCAGATTTGGATATACTTCCATATATATTTTTTGTCTGAGTTTATGTAAATGGTGCACCGAAGTCCATATATAACTTTCGATTTGCATGTAGAATGGTGTGCGATAAGCTTCGTGTAAATTTGTTCAAATTTAGATATAGCTCTTTATATATATTTTAGCATAGATTTTATGTAAAGGCATAAAGGTCCATATATTCAAGTCCGTTTGCATTTTATGAATGGTGTGCGATAAGCTTCGTGTAATCGGGTCATATGTAGAATATACCCAAAGTTGTGAAGGGTATTATATAGGCGGCCCAGTCCGACTTTACTACATTCCTTAATGGTTAAAAATATGTTTTCAAGTCATAAGAGCAGGCATGGATTTTTTGAAAATATTTTTTCAAGGCATAACCCAAGGCGTGAATTAAAAAAAAAAAAATACTGAAATGTATCTTTACGAAGTGATCCTTTTCTGATGAACCGACCCTAGAACCATTCTATTATTATATTACCTCCATAATTCTTCTAAACTAACTACTATTCAGGATCTAACACACAATTGCAATGACTAGGGACTAATGTTAGCATCTACATCGCTTTTCGTTCTTTATGATTGCTAAGCTTCTTAGTTTGAGTGTGAAAAGGAAATAAAATATGCGCTCAGCCATTGAAAATGTCTTCTATAAAAGCTATTCACAAATCAAGCCACAAACTACAGATGAATGGTACAGTCAAACACAGTCACAAATGAACAGACCATTGCAAATATTTAAATTACAAAGTTACGTTGTTCCACTGTATTTCAGTATCTCAGGAAACGGAAACATTTAATGGCGTTTAAAAGCGCGTTTACTCTGACATCAAGTCATGTATTTTTATTTTATTTCATATTTTTTTTTCGCTCACCATTCGGTTGTATTTCATTGTCATTCTCGTTCACTTCAACCTTCAACTATGCACTATGTATGTTCGTATGTGTGTGTGTGTGCTTGTAGCTTTAATTGTTGTATATGTATTTTTTTTGTTCGTACTTTCTATTTTATGGATTTTTCCCCGCTTTGTTTTTTTTTTATTTCAGCCGGAGCCAGTGAAAAGAAATTGCCTGTTATTGTGTTCATACACGGCGAATCGTTCGAATGGAGCAGCGGTAATCCCTACGATGGCAGTGTATTAGCCAGCTATGGTGAAGTTGTGGTAGTAACGCTTAATTACCGTTTAGGTATTCTAGGTAAGTGCTAAAGACAATAATAATAGCTGAGCTAGGATAGGATAAGAGAGCGAGTGCAGGCGAGTTCACATAAAATTCAATATAGGATTTGGAACAACAGTCAAAGGAAAATATATTGGGAAGGTTAGTAAGAAGATAAAATAGGGTCCTACAAAGCAGTAGAGGGGCTTAACAGAAGAGTTGAAGGGAGCCTCTACAGATGAGCTGAAGGCAGACTCTACACACAAGCTAAAGTAAGTATCTATTGAGGATCTGCAGGGAGTCTTTTTAGACGTTTTCGAGGATGTATTTATATATACGAGCTGTAGGGGAGTATCTAAAGTAAGTATCTATTGAGGATCTGCAGGGAGTCTTTTTAGACGTTTTCGAGGATGTATTTATATATACGAGCTGTAGGGGAGTATCTATAGGTTTATAGAGTGCTGCAGGGAGTATTTTTTAGGCGAGCTGAAGATAGTATTTTTGGGCGATGCATAAGCCATTACAATTCCTGCCCCCGTGATTGTAATATCTCCATCGTGGCTTCTCACAACAACAGCGATAATAAATTATTACATTTAAGTGGCCTACTTTGGAGGGCAGCAATATAAAGTATTCTCCAAGAAAAATAAAAGACAAGAAAGAAGGCCAAAGAAATAAAACAAAATATTCTGCAATAAAATACTGTGTGAACCGTTGTATCCTCCACTCGTTTATTTCATTCCGAACAAAATCCACTAAATCTCATCAGGAATGTTACATTCCATAGCTTCAACATAACTTCGCGTTATTTATGTACATAATAAAATATCTTAAGGGCTTTTGTCTATCCGGCTGCCTGGCCAAAAGCTATTCATCATAGACTACATTTATCTTTATTACCTGTTTCACCCCCCCAACCCACATTTTAATTTATTTCTCGCTTTATTCCTACATTTCTACATTTTTTTTCAACAGGTTTTCTCAATGCCAATCCTAATCCTCAACAACATGCTCGTGTTGCTAATTATGGTCTTATGGATCAAATTGCCGCCCTACATTGGATCCAACAGAACATTCAGAAATTTGGTGGTGATCCAAATGCTGTCACTTTGGCCGGCCATGGTACCGGAGCGGCTTGCATAAATTATTTAATGTCTACCCCCACAATGGTTCGTGGCCTTTTCCAAAGGGCAATTCTAATGTCTGGTTCGGCATATTCATCATGGGCTTTGGTTGAAGATCCGGTAATGTTTGCTGTGAAATTGGCCAAGGAGGTGAATTGTTCTATTCCTGAAAATTTGGATAAAGATCATGAACAGATTGTGGATTGTTTGCGTGAAGTACCATTGGAGGATTTGTATGCGGCGGATATACAGGCGCCGACATTTTTGACATCGTTTGGACCGTCGGTAAGTAAAGACGTGGGATAATTTTTTTTTTTTTTTTTTTTTGATAATGAATAGAGAGAAGAGCTGGTGGGTGCCTTAATAGAAGAGTATGAGGGGGTGTTAGTAGACGAGTTTGAGGGAGTCTTTGTAGATTAGCTGGAGGGTGTTTTTGAAGACGACTGGAAGGAATGGAGGGAGTCTATATAGATTAGCTGGTGGCAGTCATATAGATGAGCTCGAGGGAGTCTTTGTAAACGAACCATAAAGACTCCCTCCAACTCATTATCGGCGAGTTGGAGGGAGTCTGTATGGATGATCTGGTGGGAGTCTTGTATACGAGCAACCTAAAGGAATTAATTCATAGGCGATCTGGAGAATGAGGGGATATCGCTGAAGACAAGCGGGTGGAGACTTTATAGAGTGTTCAAGTGACTCTGTATAAATGGGCCTGAGGTAGTAGTGATATAGTTGAGCCTGAGGGAGTCCTATAAATGAACTAAGGGAATGCCAATAAATCTAATTGAAGAGGTATTTAAGGACGAAGGTTAGAAGAAATTTAAAGACAAAGGCGGGTCTTTATAGACGAGCTGTAGTGGGTTTTTGTAGACTAGCTGTGGTGTCTTTAGAGTCGAACTTGTGTAGATATTCAGATATGAGTTGAAGGAAGTGTCTATACAAGAGAGGAAGGGAGTACCCAGAGATAAATCTCAAAGCTAAAACTATAGGCCTTCCATAGAGAGTCTCTATAGACAAGCTGAACCCATTCTCTATTTATAAGACCTGGTCAGTCATTCATAGACGATGTGGAACGATGTGGATAATTTTTAGGCAAGCTGAAGAATTATTTTTCTATGACCTGAAGGTGGTGCTTATAGGCGAACTGACTGAAGTCTTTGAAGACGAACTAAATATTTTTATGGAAGAGCTGAAGTCAGACTTTCTACACTAGTCGAAGTAAGTTTTTGTTGTCGAGCTGGAGAGGTCTGTTTCAGCTGAAATAGGCCATAATTTATAGGGAAGCTGATGAACCCTTTATATATCAGCTGAAGGGAAAAACCAGTAGTTGAAGAATTTTTTTATACGTTTTTCAACAGGCAAAAGAAAACGAGATAGACATAGGGTAATTTTGAGAATATGCATATTCTTGGAATCACTTTTTAAATCGATTTATGCATTTAAAATTTTAAACAAAAATTTGGCACAACTCATTCATTTGGCCCAAGGAAGAACCCTATTGAAATTGAGAAAAATCGGTTCAGGTTTAGATATAGCTCCCATACATTTTTTCGTCCGATTTAAGGTAAATGGTGCACCAAAGCCCATATATAACTTTCGATTTGCAGGAAATTTGGCATGGCATACTGAAGTGAACCTGGAGTGATGTCTGCCAAGTTTCGTGAAAATCGTTTCTGATTTAGATATAGCTCCCATATATATTTTCGTCCGATTTAATGTAAATGGTGCACCTCGATTTGCACGAAATTTGGCACAGCGTGCGGAATTAAGCCTAGAATGATGTGTGCTAAGATTCGTGTAAATTGATTCAGATTTAGATTTATATAATTTCGTCCGATTTAATGTAACTGGTGCACCCATGTAACTACGTTCTGACTTGAGCCCAGATATATTCAGGGTTGCCCATATTCGACGGACCCATCTGGCAACGCCATAACTTTTGACAGAGATGTCACATCGCTTAATGACATACCACGTTTGAAGCGTCACTCCAAGCAGATTATTACCATGAACCAATACGCGCCACGCGAGCACTCTGAAATAGTTAAAATTTACATTCAACAGAAGAAGTCTATTATGAAAACTCAACGTGCTTTTAAAATATTAAAAAATGTGAGAAGTGCGCCTTCTAAGAACACCATTAAGCCTTTATAGAAAAAAATTTCGACTGGTAAGGCTCTTTCTAATACGAAGAGGCCATATAAAAGTCGACCAAGGCGATCGGCCGAGAATATCGCTGCCGTATGAGCCAGTGTTGAGAGTTCCCCAAGAACATCCCAAAAACGCCGTTCTCAGCAGTTGGGCATGGCTCGGTCCACTTTACAACGGATTATTCGCATTGATTTGCATTTGTTCCCGTACAAAATTTAATTGACGCAAAGAATATTGCCTGCGGACAAGCCTCGTTGGAATGGGCCAAAAAATAAAATGACCAATTTTGTGATGCCAATTATTCGTCGAAAGCGTGTGAGGCAGTTCTGGTTTCATCAAGACAGCGCTGCACCGCACACAATTCGCATAACAATCGATTTTCTGAAGAATTTGTTTCCGGGCCGTTTGATGTCGAAAAGTGGTGATTTGGACTGGCCACCGCGTTCGCCCGATTTGACGCCGCCTGACTTCTTCTTGTGAGGATATTTGAAGTCAATGGTTTACGTTAACAAGCCACTGGACCGTAGAAGAGCTCAAGGACAACATTCGTGAAGAAATAGCCGCTATTCCGGCCGAAATGTTGGCAAAAACGATGCAAATGCAGCAAAAAGGGCACAATACGTCATCAACACCAGAGGCGGCCATTTGAGAGATATCATATTCAAAAATTGATGTAAACAAATCTACTTGGAACAAATTAAATGATTAACATTGCCAACCGCCAAATTTTTATTTTTTTCTTTGATAAAAAAAACATGGGTCCGTCGTATATGGGCATATTTGTTCGATTTAATATAAATGGTGCACCCAAGTCTCAATGTTTGATCGATTGACACGAAATTTTGCACAACTATATATTTCGAACGAGTGCCTGATTGCGATTAAATTTTTAACAGTGCGGCATACTGAATAGAGTGTAATAAGTTTGCCATAAATCGATTTCTATAATTTTGTCCCATTGTACGCAAACGACTCTAAATCTGTCCGAATGCAATTAAATTTAGCATAGATTGCAAAGAGGCATATGTTTGTGCTTTCAAGGGAACATTGAAATGAAATTGTTAGGATACATATGTACAATATATGGTGAAGGGTATCATATAGTCGGCACAGTAGAATACATTGAGGTGTTTTTCTTCCTATGGAAGAGCTAGAGGTCTTATTCTTCGTACAGAAGATCTGGAGGTCTTCAACTTCCTATAGAAGAGCTGGAGGTCTAATACTTCCTACAGAAGAGCTGAATGTCTTATTCGTCCTACTGCTTTTTGTGGGTTGGTGTTATCTTTATACCATCTGATGAATATTTTAATAGATGAGGGGAAGTTAGGTAACGTATTACAGTTTCTTGTAACGATCTGCAGTATGTCTCTTGTGTGTTATTTGATTGGTGAATCTATATTTGTTTCAATGTTTCCCTTCATCCCTTAAAAATGTTCAATACTTCGTCTATGAATTAATGTTTGTGTATTTCAAATTTGATTGACCATCAAAACTACACTTCCGTTCAATTACTCCCATTCATAATAATTTGTTGGCAATGTCACACAATTCGATTGTTCCGACAATCAAATTGATGCAAATCATATTTTGGGACACACAGACGCATATTTATATTGATTATGACACAAATAAATATGTAAATGACAAATCAAAGATCAAAAGAATATTACATTTGTAGTTGAAGCCAAAAACCAATAGGTCATGTGTTACCAACAACAACAATAACAATAACAACAGTAACAACTACATCAACAAAAATAGAAATACCACGAACCTCATAATTTCCCATTTAGTCGTTTGTGAAATTCTAACCAAAAAAAAAATATCGACAAAGGCCACAATATTAAATGTTTGATTGTGTACGTGTGTGTGAGTGTGTGTCTGTTCTAGTGTCCAATGAATGTCAAAATAATTGAATTTTGTTGGCCACAATTGCCTACAACAACGACAATAATGGATATAGTAAAGGTCAATCGTAAATATGGTTAACATTTAATATTGCCTTCGATGATAAACATTAAATCAATATGTATGTAAATACAATTGTCGTCGTTCTTGTTGTTGTTGGATATTATTGTCATAAATATATGTATATTTACATTGTTGTTTGCATTCGATTAAATCTAATCCATTGCAGAAGTCTAGGTCAAAGACTATGTTAATGTTTGGACGATAAACATCTTGTATTGGAAAAGGCATTTGTCGGATCGAGGCTAGTAAATTAAATACTTAATGGTATACGAAAGGTCACGGGGTTGGAAAATGCTTCGGGGAAATGGTTTTCGTTCTTGGCTACAATTTTCGTATTAGTGTTTCCCCAAAATACTCTGGTTAGACTAGGTCGGTATACAGTTAATTAAATTATTGAATTATTTAATACAATTTTTGACATTGATTTTTCAAACCACCTCCGTGGACCCTCTATCATACCACAACAATCTACCACACAATCTAAATATCATAAAAAATATTCACGTTTATAACCAAAAAAATGATATTTTTAATAAAAATACAAAATAAAAAACAACTTCCTTTCTCTGACCAATGTTACGACCAATCGACCATCAAAAATGTTAAAAATTCTAACACCATCTACTATCAAGATTTTAATTTGTATGAAGCATATGTATGACTCAGATGCTCTGAGGGTGGTCGAAAATGTTAAAAGTGTGGCACTCAATTGCTGAAGATGATGATGATGACATATTTTCATCTAACAGAGCTGCTCATTGTTTTGATACTTTCTTTTCTTATCAATTTTTGTGACATATTTTTTCAAAAATAAAAAAAATCCCATATTATGACTTCAAATGCCAATAATAGAAAAAAGTCTACTTCTATAGAAAAATATTACAATGGTAGCTTTACTATTCTCCATGGTTCCTCGAAGGCCAGACAAAAAAACTTTTCAGAGAGTAAAAGAAGAAGAAGTAGAAAATCAAGCAGCATGAAGCCCCTGAAAAACTAACAATGAAAAAATCAACTGAACACTGCACAACAGCTACAATGAATAGTAGACAATAAATGAAAATACACAAGAGAAAAAGAAGAAGAAGATGATGATGAAAAAGTGGCAAGTGTCAAGAATGAAATCATCTCAATATGTGTGTGAGTGTGTGTAGGCCTTTGTTGAGGGGGTGTTTTCAATGCATCACTGACAACAACAAAAGCCACAGCAGCTGTTGGATAGATCATAGGTTGTATGGTTAAATGAACTTATGGCCCTGAATAAATGCATTGTTTTGTAGATAGAAAAAAGCAACAATAAATACAACAGAAAGAAATACGAAATTCTAGGGTTTAAAAAAAGTTACTATTAGAATTGTAATATGCTAGGTGTTGAGTAAATGACAATATTGCCTCTTATAGCATTTCTGATTTTTTCTTCCTTTTCAAATATTTGTTGTTATCTCTGTAAACATTTTTTGTCAATTGAGGTAAATTTTTTGACTTTTGTATTGTATTTATTTTTTGAGACAATGTTAAGCAATTATCTTCATAAAGAAATTATTCGCAAAATTTTAAGAAACGCTAATAACAGTGATGTAAGTTAGGGAGAATTTATAAAAGAGTTGAAGGGAGTATCTATAGACGGGTTGATGGAAGTCTTCTAGAGACCAACTGAAAGGAGTCTACTATAGATGAGCTGAAAGGAGTCTTCATAGACGAGCTCAAGGGAGTCTTCCGTAGACGAGCTCAAGGGAGTCTTCTGTAAACGAGCTCAAGAGAGTCTGTAGATATTCTTCTTCTATTCATAAAAACATCCACGCCTTTGAAATGTCTTTAAACATATTCATTAAAAAATTCACGCTTCCAAAGAAATATTTATTAAAAAACCAGTGAGCGGAGCAGTATAGTCGGACGGGGCCGACCATACAATACCCTACACAACTTTGATGAAAATCGAACTTTCTTGTTACTTGTCCAGATTCCCTTCACCGTAGGTTGTGTTGTGATGTTCGGCTTTCGACTCGAAAAGTACAAATAATTAAGTTTTCGGTCCACTTCATCCGAAAAATATTATCTGATCATCACCTAACATTTTAGGCGTTGTCCTTGACCATAACTGGAACCTCATGGAACATTTCAAAGCGATCAGCGCTATATTTCCGCCCTCCAGTATGGTAATAGGTTACTAAATAATATAGGAATACGTAAGCACCTGTAAATATTTAAGTGTAACTCGCGCATTCGAGTACCTAAGACAATATAATTGGTATCAATTTAAAGGTCAACCACTCCTCTTGAATATACTATCAACTTCTCGGGTCTATGTCCTTCAGTCGTAAAAATATACGCTATAGAATACAATTTTTTTCATTTTTCACACAAAAGTTAGGGTCCATTTGACCCGCTAAATATTGACCGATCTTTATCAAAACAGGCATGCTTATTCTTTTCCATGCAAAAATTCGCGGTGTTTGGGCCATAATTGCGGCGTCTGGAGCGACCAGAAAAACCGACAAAAATAAAGTTTTTGGTCAATTTCATCCCCTAAATATTAACCAATCTTTTCAAAAAACAATAGGGGTCTTCATTGTCCAGAACCCATCCTACATGCATTTCATAAAGGTTGGTCCATAATTGTGGTCTGTATCGTGTTTACAATTTATAATGGACAGACAGACGGACACACATGTTTAGATCGATTCAGCCAGTCGAGATATGACGATCGGTATACTTAAAGGTTGGTCTAGGACCAATATAGTTGTGTAGGGTATAAAAATTCACGTATTTGGAAGGCCTTTAAACATATTCATTAAAAAATCAAGGCCTTTGAAAGGTCTTAAAACACATGGTCCTTGAAAAAATATTCATTGACAAATTCACGCCTTTGGAAGATACTTAAAGAAATATTCATTAAAAAATCCACGCTTTTGGAGGTCCTTAAGAAATATTCTTTAAAAAATCCACGCTTTTGGAAGGTCCTTAAGAAATATTCTTTAAAAAATCCACGCTTGTGGAAGGTCCTTAGGAAATATTCTTTAAAAAATCCACGCCTTTGGAAGGTCCTTAAAAAAATATTTATTAAAAAATCCACTCCTTTGTAAGGTCTTTAAAAAATTATTCTTTAAAAAATCCACTCTTTTATAAGGTCCTTAAAAAATTATTCTTCAAAAAATCCACGCCTTTCGAAGGTCGATAAAAACTATTCCTTAAAAAATCCACGCCTTTCCAAGGTCCTTAAAAATATGTTCTATAAAAAATCCACGCCTTCGGAAGGTCATTAAAAAATCCACGCCTTTGGAAATCAATAAAAAATCCACGCCTTTAGAAGGTCCTAAAAGAATCCACATCTTTGGAAAATCCTTAAAAATTCACATCTTAGGAAGGTCTTTAAAAATCCACGACTTTGGAATGTCCTTAAAATGTACGTTTTTGGAAGGTCCTTAAAAATATTCTTTAAAAAATCCATACCTTGGACGGTCGGTAAAAAAATTATTTAAAAGGTTCATGCCATTGGAAGGTCCTTACAAAAAAAGTCTTTAAAAAGTCGCTACAAATATTCTTTAAAAATTTCACGCCATTGGAAGGTCTTCACAAAATATTCTTTTTGAAGGCCCTTAAAAATATTTTTTTAAAAATCCACTACTTTGGAAGGTTTTAAAAAATATTCTTTAAAAAATCCACTCCTTTGGAAGGTTTAAAAAAAATACACGCCTATGGATGATCCTTGAAAAATATTTTTTTAAAAAATACTCGCCTTTTCTTTAAAAAATCCAAGCCTTTGATTGGAGTTTCTTTAGATGACCCGAAGGTAGTCTTTCATAGACGAGCCGAAGGGATACTTTATAGTCGAAGATAATCTCTTTTTTACTTTAAAGCATAAACAAATATGTCTAGGGGATATTTTAAAATTCTAGGCATATCTTCTTATCTTTAAAAATATAATTTTTAAGCTCAAAAATAATCACCATAAATATTCCTAAGTAAACCCTCAAATTATTTAAGATTTTCATATTACGATAAAACCTAAATGAGCTCCAGCAAAATGTCTCCCTCTTTTTCCTTGGGTTTTCACATAAACTATGCTCATTTAGATTTGCTTTGTATTTATTTGGCTTCTTCTTCTTACTTTTTCTTGACATCTTCCAACATTTATATTACACAATATTCATTTTCTTGTCTATCATGTACGTCATCAGCATTATACGATTGTCTTATTTCTCTTTTCGTTTTCTCTGTTTGTTCTATTTATTCCAATTTAGGTTGATGGTGTCGTTATACGTCCTGGTCACTCCAATCTCGATATCGATGATTTAATGGCACGCAATATGAAACGCTCATCATCGGATGGCGGTGGTGGTGGCTCTTCAGGCGGCGGTAATTATGGTGGAGGTGGCGGTAGCGGCGGCAGCAGTTATTTCAATGGTCCCGGAGGCGGTAATGGTTTTGGCGGCATGGTTGCCGGTCATTATGATGTCCTTTTCGGTGTCGTAACTGGCGAATCGATATGGCGTTTTAGTGCCCATGACATCCAAAATGGATTCGAGGGCGAGAGACGTGATAAAATTATAAGGACTTATGTTCGCAATGCCTACAATTATCATTTGAATGAGATCTTTTTTACGGTAAGTTGATGATTTACTATTTTAGGTTTTTTTATATCGTTAGGATGAATTGTCCTGTTCGAGTTGTGAGTGTTGGATAATTATTAGTCAGCATTTGTGGATATGGAGTTGCATTGATGATGTATTCATAAGTGATGTAATTTGATACGATGAGTATTGGATTAATTGAAAAGTTGAAATAATGAAGCGGCTGTAGAGCTAAATTTATAATGAAACTATAGCGAAAAGTGGAACTACATTGAAAAATGCAAAAACCAAGATATATTTAAATCTCAGTAAATATTTTGAAATGTTCCAAACGGAATGAAATTTGTCATTCCGACTCTCCACTTTATGGCAGAGGGATATTTAAAAAAATAAACAAAATAAAAATTATCTTTAATTTTTTTTTTAATTTCAAGAACGCAGCCATGGTTAGCACTTTTGAAACTCTGATAATTATGTTGTTGTTGCATATATATATTTTTTTTTTTAAATATGACCATGATTTTTAATTTGCATACAAATTTCATATCTTTATTGTACGCGAAAAACACAATTTTGTTTGCGGTTTCAAAGGCTTTCTGTGAGCTTCAACCAAAAATGTAGGAAATAAAAAGTTGTGAAACTTTTATACATACATAATTTTTGTTCGACATTTTCTCTCTCTCTCTGAACAGTCGTTTAGCTCTTACGTTAAACGTCAAATTGCTGCTGCTTGTCGTTTTGCGGAATATAGTGCAAAAAAAAGTTTGTGAAGTTTTCCATTTGTTTTTCGTCCGATAACATTAAAAATAGGTTTATTCATGCATATATGCAATGACCGAGCGACGGACAGCAATGTCAAAATATAATTTTTATTTCAATTTTCTTTTTTTGGTTTTCGAAATTTTGCATATAGATAACAGTCATTGATAATAATTCTGTGAGAGAGATAATATGATTTTTTGGTTTGATACGGAGGGGAAAACATTTTGTCGTTGAATATAAATTATGTCAAAATATTGAATATCCAATGAAAGGGAATTTAATATTGGAAAGCGAACAGTTTTTATACCCTTCACCACAGTGTGGTAAAGGATATTATGTCTTTGTGCATATTTTTGTAACAGGCAAAAGGAAACAAGATAGGCACATGGTTCCTTTTGAGAATATCCATAGAAACACTTTCTGAGCCGATTTACGCATGTCCGTCCGACCGTCCGTCTGTCCATGTATTTTTGTTAACAAGGTACAGGTTGCATTTATGATCCGATTTGGATGAAATTTGGCATAGGTCACTTATTTGCCCCAATGACGAACCCTATTGAAATTGGGAAAATCTGTTCAGATTTAATGTAAATAGTGCACCAAAGTCCCTATATAACTCTCGATTTGCTCGAAATTTTGCACAGCGTAATGAATTAGGTCTAGAATGATGTGTGTTAAGTTTCCTGAAAATCGGTTCAGATTTAGATATAGCTCCCATATATATCCTCGTCCGATTTAATGTAAATGGTGCAGCAAAGTCCCTATATAGGGACTCTCTCGATTTGCACGAAATTTGGCAGAGGGCGTTGAGTTTTTAAATAATATTCTTCAAAGACTAAAACAGGCGTGGCTTTTTTAATGAATATTTTTCAAGGACTATAGAAGGCGTGGATTTTTTAAAGAATATTTTTCAAGGACTATAGAAGGCGTGGATTTTTTTAAAGAATATTTTTCAAGGACTATAGAAGGCGTGGATTTTTTTAAAGAATATTTTTCAAGGACTATAGAAGGCGTGGATTTTTTTAAAGAATATTTTTCAAGGACTATAGAAGGCGTGGATTTTTTAAAGAATATTTTTCAAGGTCTATAGAAGGCGTGGATTTTTTAAAGAATATTTTTCAAGGTCTATAGAAGGCGTGGATTTTTTAAAGAATATTTTTCAAGGACTATAGAAGGCGTGGATTTTTTAAATGAAATGAGATTTTTTAAAGAATATTTTTCAAGGACTATAGAAGGCGTGGATTTTTTAAATGAAATGAGATGTTGTAAAGAATATTTCCTCAAGGACATTCTAAGGCGTGGATTTTTTAAATGAAATGAGATGTTGTAAAGAATATTTCCTCAAGGTCTTTCTAAGGCGTGGATTTTTTAAATGAAATGAGATGTTTTAAAGAATATTTCCTCAAGGACTTTCTAAGGCGTGGATTTTTTAAAGAATGTTTTTCAAGGACTATAGAAGGCGTGGATTTTTTAAATGAAATTAGATTTTTTAAAGAATATTTTTCAAGGACTGTAGAAGGCGTGGATTTTTTAAAGACTATAGAAGGCGTGGATTTTTTTAAAGATTATTTTTTCAGGGACTATAGAAGGCGTGGATTTTTTAAAGATTATTTTTTCAGGGACTATAGAAGGCGTGGATTTTTTAAATAAATGAGATTTTTATTTCCTCAAGGACTTTCTAAGGCGTGGATTTTTTAAATGAAATGAGATGTTGTAAAGAATATTTCCTCAAGGACTTTCTAAGGCGTGGATTTTTTAAATGAAATGAGATGTTGTAAAGAATATTTCCTCAAGGACTTTCTAAGGCGTGGATTTTTTAAATGAGATGAGATTTTTGAAATAATTTTTTTTTCAAGGACTATAGATGGCGTAGATTTTTTTAGAAATATTATTCAAGGACATTTATTTGTTTTAACAAATATCCAAAACTATTTCACAAACGAACTGCATTCCCCTAAACACCTCTTTTGTTACACATTCTACCTAGACTAATCTTATTTATGTACGTACATATGCTCATGTGTTCTACAAAATTCCCCCAAACAATTACGAATACATATAAAATGTGCAAAATTTCCCACAAAACATGATTTAGCATAAAAGCAAATAATTATTAAATGGAAAAAATAAAAAAAAAGGCTTCCACACACAAGCCATACAGCAACAGCTACACATGTTTACAGTTATAACCAACACCACCACCATCATCGACCCCACCAACACATTTGTATAACAATTTGAATTTGAATTAACATAAATCTTTCTTGGAATTGCCTGGCTTTTCAATCTAAGAAGTCGTAATCATTTGGCAATTTTCAAAAAAAAAAAAAAATTAGGGGAATATTTCCAAAAATTATTTTCAAAACCAACCAGTCAACCCACACCACCAGTCACCGTGGCAGCCAACCAATCCGTTTTTCCCAATTGTATAACCAAATTGGTTTTTATTCGATGACAATTTAATAAACATTCAATTATAGAGCCGTGACACAAAGCCCCACTGTACATGATTGTGTGTATGCGTGGCTCTGCTCGTTTGGTTTTCTTCAGCCAGGGCCAAGTGGCTTACCCCCAGGCTGAATTTTGCCCACACACACAAACCCGCACAATAATTGCGTAAGCACAACCCGAAAAACATTTAACATGACAAAGTGTCATGCATGGTAAATGTTTTCCTTCAGCACCATCACACTCGCACCCACACTCACACAACGAGACCTCCAACAACACCACAACCATTACCACCACCACCCACTTAATGCCGCTTATTCTTTTTCTTATTATTCGTTGTTTTTTTTATTTTCTTGTGTGATTTTAAGTAAATCCCTGCATGTGTACGTGTGTGTGTGTGTGTGCGTAAGTCCTCGTGTACGTGTTTTTGGTGCGTAAACATAAGAAAATATTGGAAATTTCCTTCGATTTTCCATAAAAGTCACGTTTTTTGTGCATATGTTCCCCCTTTAAACACCCGCCAGGAACCCTCACACACACACATGTACATATGTCGCTGGGTATAACCGAAAAAAATAATCAAAAGAACATGGCAACGGCGTCAGTAAAATGAAGGAAAACAATTTAATTTCCTTTAAAGCTCTTAAAAAATCAAACATTATTATTTATTCATGTTGTTGTTCTTGTTGATGTATTTTTTTTTTCATTTGTTATATCGATGATGTTGCCGATTGGCTGTTAATACCAATAAGATGGTTGGAGGGATATAAAAATGGTACCTTATTTTGAGGAGTATCTTCAAAGGTTTGGAATTAAAACCAGTAAAGTCGGACGGGGCCGACTATATGATACCCTTCACCACTTTGGGTATATTTTACATACGTATCCTAACGGACGACGCGTGTTGTTATAAATCTATATCTGAACCGATTTCAGGGAAACTTGCCAGAGACTAATTTATTTAACATCAGGGTCTTTGGTGCACCAATTACTTTAAATCGGATGAAAATATATATGGGAACTATATCTAAATCTGAACCGATTTTCACAAAACTTGGCAGACATCATTCTCGATCTTATTCATAACTCTGTGCCAAATTTCGTGCACATCAAAAGATTTCCAGGGACTTTAGTGGACTATTTACTTAAAATCGAGCGAAGCTATATATGGGAGCTATATCTAAATTTGAACCGATTTTCACGAAACTTTGTACATATCATTCTAGACTTAATTTAGTAAGTTGTGCCAAATTTCGTACAAATCGAAAGATATATAGGGACTTTGGTACACAATTCACCTTAAATCGGACGAAGATATTTATGGGAGCTATATCTAAATCTGAACCGATTTTCACGAAACTTAGCACACATCATTCTAAGCTTAATTCAGTACGCTGTGCCAAATTTCGTACAAATCGAAAGCTATTTAGAGACTTTGGTGCACCATTTACCTTAAATCGGACGAATATATATATGGGAGCTATATCTAAATTTGAACCGATTTATCCCAATTTCAATAGGGTTTGTTCTTGGGCCAAATGAATGAGCTGTGCCAAATTTCATCCAATTCGAATAATAAATAAAACAATTTTGGCATAGCGTACTGAATTGAGTCTAGAATGATGTGTGCTAAATTTCGTGACGAACCATTCAGATTTAGATATAGCTCCCATATACATTCTCGTCCGATTTTACATAAATGGTGCTCCAAACTCCAAATGTTTGTCTGCTTAACATAAAATTTTTCGCATCGCATCAAATTGAGTCTTGAATGACGTTATTGGTTTTTTTTTTTTTGAAATTGGTGCAGCCATAGCTTC